TCGTGGGGGTATTAGAGTTCGGCCCGAACTTAGCTGCTTTTTTAGTTTTTTTTTTTTATTTTATAAAAAAATAATGCTATTAATTTATTATTCATTTACTTATTTATTCTAATGTGTGGATTTGCGGAAGAACTTACAACTGTGGAACTCTTTATTTTTTTTTTAAATATTAAATTCCTGAAAAACAGGGTTTCTCCATGGGCAAGGGAAATATTTTTGTACCCAAAGGATTAATAAAAATAGAGTTTAATTTATTCAATGCCGTGAAGATGAAAGTCTACACACATTTTTAAAAATGGCAACTATAATTACATATTTACCCCCCCTTTGTATATGAATGTATGTGTGTGTATGTGGGTATGTTGTATTTATGAAAGGCATTTCCCCTTAACAAGGACAATATCTGATAGCCGACAATACATTGATAGATACTCGTGTGTATGTGCGTATGTACATCTGGCTGTTTGATGCACACATACATTTCGTACACGAACGTGTGTTTGTGTGTATGTATATCCGTCGCGGACACACGCGACCTTTGCCCAAGTAAATACGCATTTTCACGAGGGAACAACCAACGAAAGGGTTTACGCTTCGAATGCATGGTTGGTTATTTACTCCTTTTACCACGGCAACGTCCTATCGAATGCGTGCCCATACCCTTCTATATCGGCTACATTATCGAGTTGCCAGATTGCTTGCAGAAATAACGAATGACAACTGCTAGCTGGAAGCGAATTAAGTTTTATGTTTCAACTTGTAAAGCCCCAGCAGGATATGAAATTATGCAGCAGCAAAAAGGATTTTCGCATTAAAGCATCTGAGTCATTTAAACCGCTTTCCATTCCTTGGCGTGGGGGGGGATGCCAATTGTGAGAGGTTTATAATTTACATATTTTTTCATGGTTGAATGTTTTATGCGTTTTATGAGCATTTTTCTTTTTTTGTTTAAGTCATTACGTATATCGCTTCCGCCCCAGCCCTTCAGTTTTGCGTTGCTATGTTCTTCCAGTGATTTTATACGCTGTCTTATTGATACCGCATCTATGAACAGACACTCCATACACTGCCATAACACATACACAGACACTACCATAACATCTTTTTCATGTGCAAATGAATTCGATCTACGTTTGGAACGAGCCGAAATTCGTTTGGTAGAAATTCCATCAAGTTTTGAATGGCTGTGATAAATTTCTAATCAATGATTAATCACGTATCGACTCGTTATATTGTGGTTGAACGCCTTTGTTATTGAGCCGTTCAATTTCCCTGGATCCTTTCCTTTTATAAAAATATGGACCTGAGTACCATTGCTACTATTTATATAATTGTTTAATATTTGCTAATAAGTCCAAGGAGGCTGTGTTTTACTAAATTTAAATAAATTTATTTTTTTCGTCGTCTTGGCTTTGCGTTGATTCGATCCTCCAGAGACATTATTATTATTAACGTAGTCCCTTCCTTGTGTCTAAGTAGAGAACATAATAAATCTTCTTATGTCTATGCATCATTCTTTGCAAATGTATTCCATATTCGATTCAATATTTATTTGAAATTGTAGCTCCAGCTCCCTCCGGAGCAGGGCAATCAGCGTTGTAATAATTCTTAATTTTCCATTGCAATAGTTCTCATCTCGGTTGTAAATCGTTTAATGGCATACTCTTGTAATACGGAATCGGAAGTAGGCCAAAAGAAAATGAAAAACGTATTTACTTCTGTTTTGCTTTGGATATTTATATCCGATGATTTATAAATACTTGATAGAAATTTATGAGATACTTATTGTGTTTATGCCACAAACAAATATGGCTTCCGCTACAAGTCTTGTTAAATGAAAAAAAAAAAAAACTGGAAAAAATGAAATTGATTTCCCCTTACACCCTTTCGCGGTGGTGGTGGTGGTGGTGGTGGTGGGTGGCGTCATAGAGATAGAGAACACAAAAGCGAAGGGTGGATGTGCCAAACAAACATTGTCAGGATAATATCCTTAGAATTTCCATTCTTTATTTGTTGATATACATACATACATACGTTAACATCATGATGTCCTCCTGTTTGTTATCCTTACATAACAAGCCTTAGTTTTTCTAGAATAATTTGTCGATAAGGAGCTGGATTTTTCTATTAGCAGTTCGAATTTCTCTTCTCTGAAACTCACTTTTTTACGGAACATAATGCGTAATAAACAGAGGTCAGTTTGTTTGTTTTTCAACTATTCATGCCTTGTACTCATTTATATTCCCTGACCCGGAGATATCTCGTCTACATATCCACGCTTGTCAAACCATAATCACTTTTCGTTCTATATCCGTTTTTCCCATATCGCAATCCAATAAATGTGTGATTCCCAAACACCTCGGAACACACAAAATCTAATCAAACAAATTGCCCAGAGGTCAACGGCGGACGGAGGTTGCAGATGACCCATATTCAATTACATTCAACACCGATTATCCGCCACTCAAATGTGTCACACAGGCGACAACACAAAGGGCGGCCGGTGGTCATAACGAGCAAATCAAATGAGCTTGGAGTGGAAAACAAGGAAGTGGTCATTTGTTTACAAATAAATGCGATTATATACGCAAACATACCCCCGAGGGCCGGCAACACACTCGCTGCCACGCAACGTTCCCCAGAAGGGCGAACAGACAAAACCGACCGACCGACCGACTTACTGACCACCCAGAGTATCATTGCAAATCGCATCAGTGACCATTAAGGGATTTTCCACGCAACTTGTCAGACAAAACAGATATCTGTTGCTTCCGCTGATGATGGTCACCCCTGTTCAATAACAAAGAGACATATATGGAGAGAGAGAGAGAGGGAGAGGGGTCATTGTTAACAACATAATAAAGAGCTTGTGGCGAGCAGTCAACGTTTCACGTTATTGGCCTCTGGACATTGCCAACCAACACCCCTATTTTTGCTGAGCTGAATGCAACAGGCCCTGGATGGATGTGTTGCTCGGTGAGCGGTGGTCATCCGAGTCATTTAATGGTCAATTCGTTCGTGTTTATGAACAACATTTCAATTCACGCCTTGTTGCTGCTTGTTTTGGCAATTAGGAGGGGGGAACCAACCGGTTTGCATTTATGCAAATGTTGACCTGACCAATGGACGGATAAGTGGTCATTTGGACGACACAATGACTTGATGACGTTGTCATAACAAATAAAGGACCGTCTGAGGGAGAGGATGCAATACGCGGGGTGATTAATTTAAAAGGGTTAGCGGGAAATTACTTGTTGATCTGTAATTACCAATCATTCCCTTTGATGAGCATTATCTGCTGGCAAGATATTCCACTTGATTTTTCGACAAGTGGTATCAACTAAACACCTCCAGAAATGGCCCACTTCAGATGACTGTGGAGTGTTTTTGCACAGCCCTCCCCCCCCCTTGTTGCTGCCATCCTTGGTGTGGCTTTGTACTGCATCCTGGATGATATCACTTGTTCGTCCTCTAATTCTCTAGCCTGAAATGCACTGCACAGTACGTATGCATTCATGTTGATCCATGAACATACATACATACAAGCCTACATACATACGAGTATGTATGCTCCCCGGGAGACCGGTACCAACGTTCGTTGCCAGCAATTTACTTCCATTGAAATGCAGTTGAAAAGGTTATGTCTTTTGCTTTATGTCATCACTTCGAAGGGGGAGAAGGAGCAGCAGCAGCAGAAGGAGAAATGAAATGCAGAAATGAAGAGTCAAGCGGAACCTTTAACTCCCATAAGCATGCACTTTCTGTAGCACAGGCTGGTGTTTTCCCAGTTTTGACTGCAACCAGAGGGTTTCTCCTGTTCCATGCCAGCTTCTGTTGGCATTGTTCTTGCCACCAAGGATGATTGCAGGATAACATAGAGGTAATATGCAGTGATTCGCATGTTGCCCTGTTGATGAGGATGACGATGCCGTAGCATAAATGTTCACCCACATCCCCGCTCTCACCCACTCGTGCATAAGTGTTAAAGTGGCTCACTTGTTTAGCATTCTTTAATGGTTGGCTGTCTGGTTTGACTGTTTGACGTTCGCCAGGCTGTTGTTGTTGAGGAACGACTTGCCTGAACGAGTCTTCCGCTCTTAGAATCTGCATGCACATTTTCACACGTTATTACCTCTACGAGGGATATTCATATGGCGGTGTCGGACAAAGCACCCATCTTCTCACTAGGATAATAGACATAATGGAGGCAACAAGTGGCGCTAGCACCTACTTTGATTCTAATATTTATTGGAAAGGATGTGCTTCTCTACGGACGAAGCATAAGGTAGGTGGGCTCTTCATGTGGAAGTGTGTCTCCCCTCACACACTTTCACAAGTCAATTGCTCAGGCATAAGCCGGAAAAAAGTACATGTTCCATTAACTGCATTGTTCCACAATCTGCGAGAATAAATATTCCTTTTGCCATTTTTAATTGTTTTAAAAGGATCCGGCTCTGATAACTAAAAAAATAGTAAAACGTTTTGTGCAAAATACTTTGTACATACTGGCTGCGATTAGGTAAAGATAGATTAGTTTCAGTAGCACTTAAGGAATATACTTTTAAATAAAAATCAGAATTGAATCTACACCCAAGCGAAACGGTTGTATTCTTTTCTCATCACCGAATAGAGAATTGAAATAACACCCTAACGAAGCGGTCGTGTTTCTTTTCTCACTAAATATTGCTCCCGTCGAGCCGAATACGGAATAGAGTTGACAATCGAAGAGGGAGATTGGACTCTATTCCTATCATTAAAAACATTGATCCTCCGAGCAGGATCCAAAACAGAATTGAATCAACAGCCAAACCATTCGGTTGGTTTTCTTTTCTCACCGAAAACTGAATAGAGTTGACAATCGAAGAGGGAGATTGGACTCTATTCTACTTTACACGTTTAGTCAAATCCAAAGTGTCACGTTCTGTTAAAAATATGGTCGAGTGAAAATATCTTTGGAGCCTTGAGTAAAATATAACCCTCTTTAACTCTCTTCTGAATTTATTAGAATTTGTTTTCCAATTTATAAATGGATCTAGAAAGTCTATAAACATAATAAAAACAATAAATATAATTAAAAAGGTCATAACAATAAACAACTATTTAACGGCGTAGTAGTTAACCTCACTCTGCCGTGGGGCCTATAGCCATCTATGGCGTCACATGGAAAGGCTTCCTTGGGAAATGACGTTTCTTCCTAACGACATTCTCGTCATAGTCCTCAATTTCATCGTTGTCATCATCGACTTCAACATCGCCCGGACGTACAGGATAGCCCTCTTCAGGCTTCACTATTTTAACACCTTTATCTCCAAAAATCAGACAATCGAAGTTTCTAGGCCGAAAAGAGTACATAATGAAGTAAAATGTGAAATGAGAATCCCCATTCCTTCCCTGCTCACCTTTCGAACAACTCATATCCTTGGAACGAGGCCGACATGAACATGCACACGTGCATGTTGCGGCCCAAAAACCAAATATCGTGGAACTGCACGCACGCCTGGGCAAATCCGAATCGGGGCGGACGGAAGCACATGGGCGGGGGATTTTGACCGGATACTTTCCTTTTGAACCAGACGTTATTGTTGACTTTCATACGTAGTTCAAACGAGAACTCCTCGGGCCGATACACAATTTCAGTACAAGAATTCATGCCGATCACGGCCAAAAAGCCTGCAACGAATACAGAAAAGAAGCTAACCATAGGAGTGTCGCCGTCAGTTTTCGAACTCACCTGCACAGCATTTGCAAACTCCTTTGTCGCAGGAACACGGAATGCTGCTCAGCAAATTGCCAACTGTGACATTGGGTAAGGATATCTGCCTAGACTCCTCCTCCAGTCTAAGAAGATTGAGACGATGATTGAGAATCCCAAGTTGCTTGGCCGCTTCATAGGCCAAATCTTCGCCAGGCTCTTCAGGTGAATTGAAAGCTAAAGGTTTGTTTTTAGAATAGATATAAAAATAGCAACTATTTTGACTTGTAGTAATACGTTCGACCAAGACCCAAATATGTACAGCAAGAAAAGTGGGAACTCTTTTTAACGAGGCTCAGTACCCTAATTTTGATAAAAAAAAAATGCATCCACCCGCTTGAAATAGTGTGGCGAATGAGAAACATCGCACAATTTGCAAACACAATACATGCGAAGCGAAAAATATTATACAGCAAATCGCAGCTTCGAATCCTTACAAATAAATCACATTTTCAATATAGCAAAGAAAATAACACGAGAAATATTTAATTTGATCTAAAATGTTCCTTAAAATCACGAAAAGTAAACCAAGTAAAAGTAAAGTGTTCTTGAGCATCAGTTACGACTGGCAACCGTCTCGACCGTCCAGATAAATGAACAGGTTACAAATATTCGTAATAGGGCTTGGGCCTTTGCTTTCTGAGGTAGTTGTGTATCGAACAGGTCCAAGCTGAATAATGTTTATCCTCCCTATGGAATAGCCACAACGCTTTTCGTTGAAATACAATCAAACTCCATCAGCCGGTCTGATCGAACATGTTCATTTAAGATACACAAATGAAACGAACATTTTGTGATCATACACAAATTCATTGATTTGTCATTGAGGGCAAAATACATGACACATTTATTGCTCACTTGCGATGAAATTGTACATTGGGTAAGGGTTGGGCCTAAGGAAGAACTATTAGTAGTTGACTAGTAAGTAAATGTGTTAAAATTGCTCTTTATCGGCTTGCATATAGTTATGAACGTTTGCTATGATTTGAAGTGCCAAATATTCAAATGCGACATTTTGGAGGACAACTTTCAAATCACTTGTTAGCTCAAATCTTGTTGCTAAACACAACATAGGCTCTCAAACATTCATGCACGTTTGCTGGCACAGGGAATCAAACTGATTGCTCAATTCGATCCTATCCCATACGAATCGATCAAGAAGAGGTCGTGTATGATGGAATAGCTTCAACTCAACCTATCACTTCATTTGGGGCCTTCGAATAGGACTAGTCTTCTAATAGCGGAAGTTGCATTTAGAAACATTGAATAAAAATAATTAATGAAGATTCAAGTTTTTCCACTTTTCGCTAGAATCGAATAACTGCTGGAGTGATAGGCAAAACGAATGTTCGCAAACAAACAAAGCCAACTACATACTTGGGCAAATAGGCCGGCATACGAACGAAACGAATAAATAAAAGTGAAAACCCTCAACCAAAATACTCATTTAAACAAACATAGACGCACATACATATGAGAACATATTTACATATATACAAATTAACACACACACAGACACAAATAAACAATCCAACACACACTTGTACATACACATAAATGCTCATAAATTAAAGCCACTAAGCCAACCAACCTTACATAAAGGTCAATAACATGTCTTAAGTATAGATGAGAAACGAGAAAATTAAACACGACATAGAATCAAATCAAATAAAAGAAAACGAATAAGAATAAAAATAAAAATAAAATAGAATGAAAAAATCAAATGAATTAAGTCAGCGCTCACCACGATGACCTTCGGAGTAACTTTTGTTCGTTTTGCGGGTCGGTCGGATGAGAGCTACCTCAAATTATGACGACGCTGGCATTAGCGGAGCGACAGACAGGCCGTGGTGGCCACAGTTCTTGCTCTCCCCAAAACCTTGACAAACACCGCCACTCAAATGTGTGACTAGAACGTAAATAAAACTGAGTTTGACATGTGTCGGCAAGGAAGACTGGTTCTGACACCAGACAAGAAGGCAGTACCGAATTTTTGTGGGAAATCCAATCGACCGAACGTTCTTCCAACACTAAATTAATTTCACGAACCAATCAAATGAAAGTCCATTTGTTACAAATAGTAAACCCATTTATTACAGTATGTACACATTCATATTTGAAATAAAGCATTTAATTATTGTTATATAATATTTGCAATTGATTAAAAAAAAAAAAAAAACAAGTAAACAAACATAATGGTAATCACAATTTATTCGATCGATATATTCTATTCTGCATATGTTTTCTATTCCTACAAAAGAAAAAAAAGTGTATAAAGCTATGAAACCATCACAAAACAATAAATTCAAAAATATTGTCCTTCGCGTTTGATGACGCACCCAATTCGAGTTATGTGAGCGGAAACGGAAGTGATTTTTAAACTCGTTAATCGAGTCGATTATATTTGTTAATGTTTATTTCGCTACTTCTGATCTCGCTGGCGATTTGTAAAATATGAATTTGGTATTTACCGTTACCGTGGTATTTATTTTAATAACAATAACGTAATGAAATACATGTTGGTACTCTACATCAGGTATGCACGACAAAGGCTAAAAAAGAAATCGTATCGAAACAACATTTGGATCAGTACCGGGCTCCTTAATTTTAAACTTTAATATGTGAAGCCCTGTTGAACTTGCAAAAATGGCTAATCTCCAGAAAACTCTTTTGTGCTATCACTACTTCACATTCAATTAATTTTATAGGATACATTCATATAATTAAGCTATCAAATTTGTACTTTAGCCACATGTTATAAATAGGATTACTGATAGAGCACCTTCTCATAAACCTTTTGAGTCGTAATGTCAAAGCAAAATGTCACTTGTAATAACGTCCCCATCAAATTTATGCCTTTGCCATCACCATAGTGTTTTGTGCGACATTCGATATGGTACCGCTAAAATCTAAAGAATACCATTGCCATACCGAATCAATACAGCAAGTGAAATTGACCAAAAGACTGATCGATTGATAGATCAACGAATCGCGTTTATTTCGAATTGTAATGACCTAATTTTCCTTCCAAATCCGCGACTATTACTTCCATTTAAAGTAGCGCCATAGCCATCAAAGTGATAGCTATGTTCGTTGCATTTCGTATTTTGCTCATCGGCCATACCTTTGCAATGGAGCGTTTTTTTTTTTGCGTCGAGAACGAATTTCACCAACTCGGAATGGGTGCACCACCACACCTGTCACCAACCGTAAGCTTACAAACTAATTGCCATTCACGGCCATTTATAGATATTTACATTTCTCTTAAAAAGTCGGTTAGTTTTCTCAGTCGAGTTCGATCCGAGAGTAAAAGTTCGCTATACATCTAGATAACACAGCTCTCAAGTACGTACATCATATACATTTATATATACATCCTGCATATTTTACAACATCTAATTAATAAGTTTTGGAGCGGGGTCCGCGCTTCGCTCCTAGCTCAAACACATATGTACAATTCTTTGGTAAATCGGAAAGGCGTAGGGATTGACAAAATTCAAAATCAAATAATAAAAATACGACATAAAGTAGGAATTTTTGCTACTACCGGTCTCGGAGCGGGCCACGGCCAGCAAGGAGGCTACGCACAGCAAATAGAACACTAGGCGGGGATGGCTGTTCGATGGCATGGCGATGCTTGGCTGTGCTTTTTGCGTGATGTGGTACGATGTGACTCCTCTTCTCGCTCTCACTCTGTGCCTCCTCCGCGCCTTCTTCAATATTCTTGGCAACTTTCTGTTTGATTTGTTCGAAACTTTCGCTTTTCTTCTTGTATTTTGGTTTTTATATTTTTTGTTATTTGCTAATCGTTTAGAGCGCGAGCATTTGTTTTGTTGTCAGACATGAAAAAGCCGCAACTTTTGATTTTGGCTTCACGTTTTTGGCCGTGTTTCGTTCGTTTAGTGGTAGTTTCGTCTCGAGTTCACTGATATTCAGACCGATCGTGTTAATGGCTGTTGACCAACTAAACGCTGACCACTGCTGATCGCTCACCAGACAGTGGCAAATCGCCGCGATGTTAAAAAAAAATCAAACTCGTACGCGTATTCTGCCCCCCCCCCCCCATTTCCCTCTTGGTCGTTTTCCGCTCTTTGGAGCGAGTTGTTGCTCCGTTCATTTGCTTCAGGCGCATGCGTAGCATGAGTAATGGTTGGCGACGTAGTAGTTTTGGTTTTCATTTTCGGTTTTGTTTTTGTTGATGTTTAGCATTTACCCAATTTCTTTTGGTTGGCTGCGATAGCCGGGCGGATCCGCATGTTTATGGGAACAGCGTCTTATTGATATTTGTATGTGATCTTCATGTTTTGGTTTTGGTGTAATTGCCCACCGCTGGGCGGTATAATAATTTCAGTTAAAAGTGTTCCAAAGTGACAAGACAAGAGGAGGAAAGCCCCGATCATTCGTTCGGTGTGAACAATTGTAAGCCCTCGTGGGAAACATTCCATCCGAATATGACAGTTCTCTTAGATCAATTTTCTCATCGTTATTTGACGAGGTGGCCCCACTCCCTTATCGAACTATCCTCGTTGCGTTTGCCACAGAAAGTCAGTCACCTACATTTCTGTTTGTTTTATTTTATTTACCAGCTGATGGAGTAAATAATTCATAAAATACTGGTTTCGATTAAAAATGAGAAAGATCGGGTTTTCAACGTCTGCTTGTCCACCGGTAACGGCATGTGGTTGTTGCTGTTGTTTTCAATGAATAATTGAATGGATTGTTGGATAGATGTGTGTCGCGTTTTGGGGTGATAAGACATGTTTGTTGTTGTGCCTCGGCGTTGTTGGTTGGTCTGCCACAATTTCTCCTCAAAGTAATTATTTGGTTTTTTTTTTCTTGAGTTCGACTCTCACTTTTGCCACATCATTTTTTGTGGCGACTGTTTGTCGTAGTTCGTTACAGCGGTGATCTGTAAGACCTTAAAGGGGGCATGTGCGTTCAACAACCCATCGGCTGTTGGTCACTTGCTAATTGAATTGTAGCATTTGTTGTGTAAACTCATAGATATGGGACACATACATACGAACATACATACATTTACGGATGAAGTGGAAATGGCTTAACATTGCCCTCCAAGTCGACATTGATTCGAGCTACTTCCATCGGATTTTTGAAAACGATTAGGGGACTGGATGATGGCCATGCTGCCAAAAAGTAGATCATGAAACTCACGATTCAGTCTTGGGGTACAATCGGATTTTGATGTCAAACATGTCCGATAATTAGATTGCAAGTTGTGCAGGCGGAATGCAGGTGGAAATAATTCTATAATTGATAATTTTGCATTGATAAATTGTTCTAAAATTTTCACTGAGAAATATTGGAAAAAAATCTCTGTAGATCACCTAGGCATGGTCCGAAAAACTAATAAACTACATAATTAAATGTGAAATAACCCAATCGCAGTTTTTGTTCGTTCCACTTATAAGATAAAGGGAGATAGAGAGGTAATAGTATTTGGAATAATTTCATGGGTAGAAAGACCTACTAACTGTGGAACCATTCCAAACTGCAAAGCCATCACCAAAATGTGTTTACTGGGCTGCATCCGAAGCAAGCAATTGATTTCTGGTGCGACGCGAGTTTTTCGTTTCCCGTTCCAATGTGAAAATTTCTATGGATCGGTAGTTTACTTACACACAATATAACTCATTGAAGGCTCAATTATCAGACCTGCTCCAATACTACTAACACTTCATGAATCGTTTATCAGCCAAAAAATTCAACGTAGCTTGGACAGATCTTTCGGTCTCAATGTCTTCCAACGTAGCTAACTAGCTTAGTGACCATAAAGTAGAACCTTTTAACTTTCGATTAATTATTTGAAAAGTGTTAGAGGGTCATTAACTTTGTGCCAGTCGTGTGGTCTAAACGCCTCTAATGCCAACCACTATCACCTTCAGAGTGGTAGCTCTTCGCCATGAAAATGCGGAAGTGGTTTGAAACCGACCTGATGTTTAGCATAACAAAACCTTTGCGATGAGAGAGTGTGAACTAGTGAGAGAGAATAAGCGGAAGAGACGAACTAGCGGCAGACAAAGTGTTTAGCTGATCGATAACCCGTTCGTCTGCTCTTCTCCATACCCCTCATGTCGCTCATGTGTACTTCACCTACATTTCGATCACTGTTCGATTGCTCACCCCGTCTCGCAGATCAATCAAAGGCCCTTCTCATTTCTGTGCAAGCACTGGCAATCGATTGTCAGAAGTCCACAAAGTAAACAGTGGTGCAATGAAATGCTCCAAAACTGATTGCCCTGCATAGATTTCAATCAAAATGGCACTTGTGCCGAAGTTTCGATTGGAATTCAGTTCCATCTACAAAACTCTCGGTGCAGCCCACTTCAAGACTCCCTGGAATTTTTGGATCTTTCGACAGGTTGTTCACCTTTCCCCACCCAAATGGCGTTTTGTTTACATTTAACGAACCACAATGAATGAAATCATCTCATGTCGTGGTGCGGCTCCACTTGCTGCTGTCCATATCTCAAGATTAATATTTAAATTTGTCAAATATTGCTTAATTAGTTATCGATTCTTTTGGTTATTTGTTTACACGCCAGTTTTGGCTGTAGAAAAACAAAACGTGAGTTACGCTCTGAAAACGTGCCCGTGGACGGAAGACCGTGTTCAATAATCCGGAAACACAGAAATGTGAATGCATCAGCATATCAATGATGTGGAATAATAGGCGAATGGGTTTCAGAGGTTAATATATGTCAGTAAGTAAATCATTGATGTGTCTTTTGCACAGTGGTTCTGTGAGAAATACCATCGGTTCGAAGTTGCCTTGTATTATACTGTTTAGTCCAATCAAACCTGATATAGCATTTTCAGATTAAATGAAACCTTTTGCAATTCAAATGAAACTTTTTGCAGCGGAAATGAAACCTTTTGCAGTGGAATTGAAACCTTTTGCAGTGGAAATGAAACCTTTTGCAACCGAAATGAAACTTTTGGAAAATCAAATGAAACTTTAAAATTTAAAGAAGGAAAAATAACAAAACATTTTTATTTTTAGTAGTTTTTAAATTAAATCAATTAATTATAACTAATATATTGACAAAGATGATTTTTTATTGATTATAAATATCTACATTTATTTATATTATTTCCTTAATTTTCAATTGTTGTAATAACAAATGTTTCTTTATTGATTTGATATAAAATGCTTCCATATTATTAAATTCCAAATGCTTAACGCTAAAAAGAGAAATTTAAACAAATGTTGGCCTTTATAGGTATGGCCAGGACTGAAATGTAAAATTAACCTTTACCACAATTTTTTATAGTTATAGTATACTATTAATCTTACCTAATAATGGATTCCCGCTTCGCAGTTTTATTGATTATGGAGATAGAGCAGTCGTGATTTCAATAGACAGATAAGTGGAAATCATTAAATCAACTATGATCATGATTGTATATACTACGACGAATATTTAGAGGTGTTACAAACCGATTGACAAATTTAATATATCCATGGAGGAGATTATAAAAAGGTACCTAATTCGGGTCCTTTGAAAAAAAATATCTTGAAAAACTTTTTTCAATCTTTCTGCATCTACACTTGTGTTTTATGGAAGCTTTAAGAAAAAAATTTATAAAATGATAGATATTAATAATCAATAAAAATTCCTCTTGAACTATATATTAGTTATAATTAGTTGATTTAATTTTAAACCTACTAAAAATAAAAATGTTTTGTTATTTTTCCTTCTAAAAATGTAAAAGTTTCATTTGATTTGCAAAAAGTTTCATTTCGGTTGCAAAAGGTTTCATTTCCACTGCAAAAGGTTTCATTCCCGCTGCAAAAAGTTTCATTTGAATTGCAAACGGTTTCATTTAATCTAAAATTGCTATATAACACAGTGCCTAAGATGAGTGAAGATATTGCATTAAATTCGAGGTGATAGAAACATTTTTATTCTTTCGACTGATTGTGGCGCCCAAATGAGAAATTCAATTGTTCTGTCTATTATCCACTTGAAGCGAGTTTCGGTGACAAGTATCCAAGTATTCGAGAGGTGAATTATCCATTTCTTTGCATTGTTGAATTTTCACCCATCTCTCATTCATTCCCTAGTGCATGACGATGTGTGCAGACTAAGCTCTGCACCGAAATACCAATTCAAATTTGCAACAATTATCCAATTATCAAATAAACAAACAAACGGCCTCCACATCTCCTCCACTACTAAGGCAACAAGCAAAAGCATGCAGTCAATGATTGATGGTCGACACGAGCAATTCTCCCCACATATTATTAGTTCTGCAAGGAATCTCTTGAATCAACCCAAAAGCTTGTGCCCCAATAACTTTTTGGCCATGCATCCATCCATGGACCGACATGTATGATTTTCCCCCAAAAATGAAATCGCAGAAAACGATCATGATTTTCACAAAATTGATTTCACATGATTTACCGATCAATAGATTTTCCAAAGTCCGATGATCTCGGATAAGGCTTTGTTAGCGAGCAATACAGTGCTTCTTGCTGGCCATTGGAGCTGGCTGTGCCTGTCTGCCTAGCTGGCTACATCACTCCATGGCTACAACAAACATAATGTCTGGTGTCATGGTGGTCAATTGGGGAGTAATGATGACCGTTAGTTAAGGCAGCAGCCAAGTAAACAAATACCATGGCGCTGTAACGACATACATACATACATACATATATTCCCATATTCATGCTTAGCCACCGTTGCAGCTCCAAAATGCCCCTTCGCTCTGTCAAATGCTACCGAAGCTCCCAACAAGGAGCGTGAATAAAGACGACGATGTTACTGGCGCTCCAATCGTTCAATGGCGAAGCGCAGATCACGTACTCTTGGTTAAGCTAATAAATTGGATGCCGAATAAAGTTCGCGACTAATAAAATAGTTAAATGCGGTCCACTGTTCGTGTACCTGGAACTATGTCGGAACTATACTTTGCATTAACAAGGCTGTAGCAAGAAACG